ATTAGTATAAAGTTTACAAAATAACCTATTGAGACACATCATTTAAGTATAAAATAAGTAAGGTTTTAATATCTGTTAAAACTTATTACAAGATAATGATAGATGAAAGAAATACAATTGTGAGATTTCATTTTGTATTAATACACTATTAATTTCCGATTCTGAATGAATTACTACTCGAACTTGAATGTTTCATAGGATAAAATGTACAGTATTATTTTGACCTATCAGTTTCCAAACCTTTTACACGTATAATATAATTGTACCGCATTCGCATATATTTTTCGTTCAAATTTGCATTTGTGGAAAGTAGTGGAAACTAGCATATGATTACCTGTTTTCGGCCCTGATTCTGAACATTCTGTATGAATATTATAATATTATACAAGTAGTTTAACACAATAGATACACTCATGGACATATTTAGGAGAACGCTTTAAAAATGTAGTATTATGATAACAACGTTCATATAAACTACTGACCACATACCAGAACAGTAAATCGAAACTAAAAAGCGATTGAAGCCATTCTGTTTTCAAATTAAACTTCATGGTATATGTGGTTAGTGGTTCTTAAGAACATAAATATGTCCTTGGGTATGTATGTAAAACACGTATACCTATTTCTGCCCCCGTAGTATGCCGCCTCAGTAAAGCTATTTTATCCACATTTAGCTGTCACATTCGAGTGATAAACCAGCAATTTAAAATTTTATCACAATAGCAAACATGGCGAGCACCGTGACGTCACATATTTACATCGTCTCGAGCGCCGGCGACCAATGACTGCAAAAGAATAACACAGTGCCAAATATGGCTGCAAGGTAATAGCTGATTTTAAAACATTTGCACAGTAATTTTATCAATGTAAAAATAGAGCGCGACAAACGAAATGAAAAGATATTTTTTGTTTCATGGTTTTCGCGGCGATAATTAAACGACAAACATAGCTATATACGCAATTCATATCGTTTGTCCTTATTGTACAAAATGTATAACAATAGTTCATTACCATAAGCAAACTTAGATTTATCAACTGAATGAAATATTTTGACGGGGAAATTTATCACACATATTCTGCCATGCTTCGGCCACTGGTTAATTTGAGCGTTCATTTCATTTTTACGCTAACTGTACTTAAGATAGGTAAGTTACTTAGTTAAACCATCTTGTAACAAGAATAACATATTTACTGGTTAGTTCTATATTTAATTTATAAGGCTAGTAGCCGAATTGACATTGTCATTGTTAGTCTTGTTGTTATTAGTTAGTGTTATTAACCTGTTACTTTGAATGGTAAAAGCCTTTTTAAGACTCGATTACTATCAGGAACCGATGTCGCCAAAACTCACACATTCTTTATTTGAAACGGTACAAAATTTTGATATTGATTGATCGTAGTTTCAAATTTAAAAAGAAATAACTAATTCTGGATTGTTAATATAATTTAAACTTTACCCTGTTGACATATCGTTGAAGGGTCATTACCATCAATAGCTAGTATTATATATGTATTATATTTTATGTATTTTAAAGAAATTACGACGTTTTGATATCATATTAAAATTTCAATCAATATGCTGCCATCTAGCGGTTTTATTTCGGAACGACGACGAATTGGAGTTAATTAGTTCTCCAAAAAAAAAAAGAAGCTACCATAATTCAGGAGTATAAGCTTTACTTTCATTTCTTGTCACAAAAAAAATTCGATAAACAGAAAATTTAAAATTTATTAAAATCTTTTCGACGAAATACCGCCACGGGTAATACTTTTCGTGTTGCTATCAGTTTTACACTCCAAAACAGTACAATATGGCATTTTTCTATGATTTTAGAGAACTTGCATATTACACAACCATACCATACAAAGCGAAAATGGCGGATTGAGGTCAGATAGATCTCTCGAGACCTATAGTTGACATGCGTAGGCCTAACTTCTATTGTATTTATTATTCTGTGCATTCAACTCTGGTTGAAATAACAAAGCGTGTCGTTTAGCATGTTTGCCGTGAATAGAGTAGATGATTTTTTTCGCCATAACACATAAAAGATATTGTTCTTTTCTTACGAGAATAAGCAATTCGGCCAATATTATTGAAAGGACTGAATGCGCTACGCATGTAGCTTAGCACGTAACCTTTTAAGAAAACACACAATTTGATCTTTGTTAACAGACATCTACAGAATTAATAGTGGGGGTAGATGACAAAAATAAGTAAACTTCACATCACCGAAAATATCTATTCATAATAGCTAAGGACCTAACAACACACTTAGCAAACAAACGAAGGTTCATATTGTGTTGACAATTACGTTTATCTGAACCAAGTGGTCTCTTTCAAAACACAAAGCCAGAAAAGGTCAACCTATGTGTTGGCTACGTCAGAAAGAGCCACTAGTAAGGTTTGTATGACTATAAAAACATATTCAAGACCAAAACTTGAAAACAAATATTAGAGCGGTGCTACACGACGCGTTGCGTTGGCATTGCGACGACGCATGACCGGTGACGCTGAGTTATAGTACATATAAATTAGAACTACATGCCATCTGGCCCGTTGAAACAGCGCATGGCGACGGAACGTATGTGCATCGGACAAGAGGCCAGGAAACAAAGCGGGAAGGGGCTCTGCTGTACGTAAATAAGCGGCGGCGTTACTTGCGACACCGCATTCCTCGTGTGGCACTCGGTGCGTTGAAATCATAGCGTTGCGACGACGCAACCCACCGTTAGCGCCCGTGTGTCATCGCTTTTATAATGTTGGACATTTTTTACAACTAAAACTGTATTCGTGAAAATTGGCAGAGACCGGATTCATATCGTCGATTTCACGTTTGTTTCTTTCCGTAACTGATTTTATTTAACTTGTTATACACTTATGTGGAAATATTTATTTACAAACCAGTATCTAAATAATAAATGTAAAATCCCTCTTAATAACGTTCAATAAATGTCAAATTACTATGAAATCAGACATTCACGCGTTTTTTTTTATGAAAAATAGTGATAAACATTACATTAATAGGAGGAATATTAATCTCTGTACAGAGTACTAAAAAAACCGACCTTAAAAGTACGTGGAATTACGTCTATTTGCTAAGTGTTATTGAAATATAGTTCGCCACTATACAGGACTTGACACTGGAGATAATAAAAATAGGTTCTCACTACGACACTACTCAAAGTTTATTGAGAGAAAAACGCCTTGAATTGGAGAAATAGCAAAATCAACCATTAAAGTAATTGCTCCTAAATTAAAGTTAGGCGCTATTTATAAAAATGAATCATCATGCGTGAACAGCCATCCTTCGAGGTGGATGATATTCTTCAAAATGAAATGGGACTACTATGGAAGTACCCCCTTTCCAACAAAAAAATAATCATGAAAATCGGTTCACAAATACCGAAGTTATCGCGTAACATACATACAAAAAAAAAGAACATACAGTCGAATTGAGAACCTCCTCCTTTTTTGTAGTCGGTTAAAAATAAACTGGATATTCTCGCCGCCCGTCTTCATAAAGTCACAAATTTATTCGCGTATACACAAAAAGAGCAAAATTTTCCTTTTACGAGATTTAAAATAAAATAAAATAAAATGCAAGGAATAAAAAAATTAAGAATAAATAAAATAAATAAATTAAAACACTAGGTAGGTAGGGAAACAAATCAAATAGAACGAGCACAACGTGATTTGATCAAAACAATGTATTTAAAAAAGTTTGTATCCGCTGACAAAACTAACATCTGTTAGGAAACTTTATGTACTTACTATACACTGTAATAAAACAACATAAAAATTTGCCATATGAAAGGGTATTAGGTAGAAGAATAAGCTATAACATAGCGTTGGTACCAACAATAAAAACTACTGCGGCTAGCAGGCAGTACAAATACAGGGCCTCATGTCTATATAATAGTTTAAACAGAGAACTAGATCTGTACAAGAAAATAGTTCGTGAATGCTAGTTAGCAATTACAAACTGGCACGAAACTAAGTTATATGAGGAGATTGAGCAATTACTATTACAAGTTTGAAATATATAAATAAATAAACAAGTAAACATAAAAGTTATACTATATCAGTATATACATAATACATATAATGTAAATAAATAATGTAAATATACACAAATCGTAAATTAATTTACATATATGAACTTATTATACAACTGCTATTTTTTAACTTCTTATTAATGAGACAAGCAACTGAAGTGATACTATTTAACATGGTATGACAATGTACAATTTTGGATATTGTACGTCTAGCAGATGGATGACACACATGTACACAATCACACAATTACACACCTACAGATACATATACACATACTTGCACTCACACACACTAACAATTAGGTTAATCTATTTTTAGTCTGAAAAGTTAAAAATTACTGTAATTAGTGAAATTTGTTTTAGTTGTAACACCACTTAAAGTAGATATTAAAGTAGTATATTTTATCATCTTAAAAATATATAAGAGCAAGATTACTATTAATATCATAGAAGAGCGATGTTTCCTAACACAGGCCCTAACAAGCCTAAACGGAAACATCCGCACCTGTACTATGCCCTTTAAAATTAACGAGTCAAAACATTTTATTTATTTATTAAACAAAAATTTTACTCTAATTAGCCTACGGGAATGACCCGTTTAGCTATTGCAGGTTCTTTCGATTTTTGAATATTAAAAACAAATTTATTACAAAAGATAAATGTGTACAAATGCTTATTTAGAAAGAAGCAACCACCCCCACAGTTTCTTGCTCATTCTCAAGGAAATCTGCCTTACGAATGAGTAATAGAGTTTATGTGACGGTTTCAAATATAATTTGCTGACATATGAAATAAAGATTGAGTTTGAATTAGCTATTCTATATCGTAGACATCGTTTTACATAATCAAGAATTGAAAAAAATAACAACACAGTTCCGCAACAAAGACTTTTCATTAGTAAATAACACTATGAATTAATTAAAACAATCGAACCGTTGCACTTTCGGCCATTTTTATTGTAGTTTTTACTTTTAGGTCGCCATGTTGATGAAGCTCCAAATTTTACTTCAATTCATTTTTTTAATTTTCATTGAGGTAAATTTTTGATATTATCGTTATGGAATGAAAACGAACTTGCAAGGCAATGCCAAGGTCCACCAGTAAAATGTCTATGTATTGTTGTATAGGACCAAGAGCACAAGATTTAAATCGAAATCTAGGCCGCTTACGATAAGAATGGTCCATAGCCCAAGTATCAAGATTGATGTGCTCTCGACTGTACAATGACCAATGATTTAAAATTGATGGGTATTATCTGCCTTTGTAGTAGTGACTACACTAGCAGATTCATGGTTCGAAATATATAAATGGCAGGTAAAGTCAACTACGGATGGGAGTTAGTTATGGCGCTGGTCTATAATATGTGACAACAGACGTCTACAATTTCCAAAGGCTCATAAATTGAACCTTCGGCACACGGTAACCTGTTATTCACAGAGATGGAGATAGTTTGTAATTCTCCGATATACCTTGCATATATTGTGGCACTACTCAGCAATTTGCCACAAGATACACTGTCATTGTCATAATTTATATTGTTCTAGAATGTCTCTACAAGATTTGACCGTGAACCTGATCCAGAAACCGTTGCTCGCATGCTTAATGATAAAAATGAGCCTATAGTCGTATTTGTTAATAGCAACAATAACGTAGACGATAACCAGTTAGTAAGTATTATTTTAAACTCTGACTTGATTTGGAATTTCGTAAAGAATTAATTTATTCTGCAAAGAACTTTGTATGTAGAATAATTTAGTTCACGTTGAGTTTAATTAGTTAGATAACAGTCTATTCAAGCGCTTTAAACAATTCTATGGAGAAAGCAGATATCACAGTTAGATATCACCTTTTTCACCCCATTGGGATGATTTGCAAAACGTCTCAATTTTATAATTTGCTTTGTTTCATCGAATACAAAAATAAGTAAGTATCATTAGTTTCATGATTAGTTTAAAATTTATTTGAATACTTAATAATATATATTACTAAAACTTAATATTTTCAGGCCCTTTCAGAACGTGCAAATGACAGAAACGAACGTGAACGCAATGAACTGGAGCGCGATAGGAATGACCTTGATCGTGATAAACGTGACCGATATGAATTGGATCGAAACGAACGAGATGAAAAAGAGCGATATGAATTGGATAGGAACGACCAAAATAATTTGTTACGGTATGGTGAAGACAGAAACGTTCGGTTGAGAAGTGAAAGGGATAGGAACGAACGTGATCGGAATGATCTGTATAGAAATGAACGTAACAGAAATGAACGAGAAGATTTTACATCAGATAGATACGAACGTGATCGAAATGAACAAGATAGAAATGATTGGAATCGGAATGAACGCAACTGGAATGAACGTGACCGAAATGAAGATGACAGAAATGATTGGGATAAGAGTGAGCGCGAATTGAATTGGTATGAACAGTCACGTAATAGAGCTGCACGGAATCGAATGTCACGTAACCGAAACCGCGAAATTCAGCGACTTGATCTTGCCGAGAACGAAAGTGACCGAAACGAAGACCGGTATCAAGGAATTGACCGTATGCGCTCTCTTTCTGATTCGGAACGTGCAGAAAATCAAGCATATTTATTCTATAATTTATTGAGGGTATGTATTTGTATTCAACTCTACAATTTCTAGTGATAGTTCTTCTATTACGGTTGTCAGTATCTAGGATCGAGGTACCTGCTGCTGGTCTGATACTTTCATCACTCTTGGCTGCCACTATTGCTCATAGCTATCTTCTTGTTCACCATCCATTTTATTCCTTTACGCAGATACAAAATTTTACAACTTTATTGACAGATCTAAACAAGCGTAGTGCTTTATAAGCAAGTATTACTTATGTTGGCCATTTGTCAGAAAAGATGTTTGAAATTTTTGAAATCGAATAATAGAAATGTTGATTTTAAGATAATTATCAGTGGAGTGGAGTTTATAAGCTCACGTGTGACATGTAACAGTTTATATATACATAGGTCAAACAGGGCGTAACTTTATAACTAGATATAAAGAGCATGTTTCTTCGTTTAGGCATAAGCACCCGGACAGGTTAAATGTCACATTCATTAGAAATAAATAATATTTTACCAGATTCCCTTTCTTATGAATTCTTAAATTTTTGCGAAAAAGGACTACGTCTGGGTGTTTTAGAACAGATGGAAATAATTAGGTACAACCATGGTACAACAACAGGGGTTGTATAATAAATGAACAATTAAATTTTGCATTATCATCTTTATTACAAGTATTTTCGAATTTCAACCATGTTGACACTGGAGATAGCGGGGTATAAATATACCAACCGTTCTGAACGAGCTCATTCTCCGGTCGAGCATCGAGCTATCAACAACTCCTGAGGATGCCTCGTGGAGAGGCGAAACACGTGTCGGGTATATTTTTGGTGGTGGTTTGTTGTGACTGTAGTTGCGTTTGTGTTATTAATTTTATGCGGAGGGAAGGTGGAAAAACTCACTGGATGAAAAAAAAATTCAACACAAGCGCAACTATTTTGCACGATTTAATCTTTCTGGGTTCGCTGTGTAGCAAATTAATTTACTTCCATATTTGTAAACGACTGTTAAATTTTAGAAAGAACTGACTACTAACTGCTTCTACGGGCACTAACCGTTTAGCGTTAGCTACACACTACGACAGTGCTATGACTGTAATTGATTAATATTCTTCCACAAAATCTAGCCTTTATTGTAAAACAAAACATTCAGATGAATGTTCATAGACAAAATTGTGGTCCTGTACATACCTATTACTATACAATAACATACTACAACGACCAAAAAATGGGTTTTAGTCCCATAATAACTGTTCATATAACAACAGCACAACGACGAATAAATGTCCAATTTCAGTCACAGAACTTAGATGAACTTGATCCGGAAGCTGCACAACGCTTAGAGAATACGAAAGATTTACTTACACAAGTGCTGAGACAACGATGTTACGCAGAAGATATTTGCAAAAAGAAATGCAAACCGAAAACATCTAAATGCAAATCCAAGTGTGAGAAGGTAATTTAATACTCTCTCATGATCTAAAGGTTTCTAGTAGTCTACGTGAAACACAACAATTGAGCTACAACAAGAGAGCTATTGTATTATATAACCACATTAATGTGAAAGAAAGTACTGCCACCATAATTATCTCTGCTACCAATTATATTATATACTATAATGTGGAAGAGTTCGTCCAGGGATGTACCGCCACCAAGCACTAATGTGAACGTTACTGCTTTCCGGTTTTGAAGGATAAGAGTGCTGGTGAAACAGGCACATAGGACTTATCAACTTATATCTCAGGGTGAAGGGCAGTGCCCCTCCCTAGCCAAATTCGATGTAGAATGTTTAATAACAAAACGTTGCTAAGCAACCAATGATAGCACAGGAAAAAAACATTTTTTTCAATGCTCATTATTAAGACTTGCTCTGCCCACGGCCTGCTCCCTTAATTGGAATTTAAATGGGTAAGTAGGTAATTGGGTTAAGTAGTAATTTTTCCCTAGCCAATTATTATAAAGTTTACAAAATACCTTTTCATACATATAATTTAGGAATAAAAATAAGTGTTTGCATTCTATTAATATTTACTGCAAGATGGTAGGTAATGGTAGACGAAAAGAAACAAAATTGTAAGATTTTATTTAATATTAATTTACCTCATATTATATCATCCAGCATCTATTTCCGATTCTTAACTTGAATTACCACCAGAATTCGAATGTTCCCAATCTCTCCCTTCAAATCAAAAAGTCACCAGTGATGACACCGTTTTACAAACAATTAATTACTGGTCATCTTATGTCATTTTATGTTATTTGAAACTTCTGTTGATATAAACAAGACTTCAAGGTTTAGTATTATCCATAATCTAGTTGAATTTCGGGGGAAAATATTGAAATTGTGGTAACTGTGAAAGAGTCTGAGATGAAAACCCTAAAAATCATATGTTTTTGTTTGTTGACATTTATTCTATATCGAATTTGGCTAGAATATAAGTACTTCGCGATTTAAAGCTCTGTGTAGACATGGACGGGCGTGTCGCTTACCACCAAGCACACAACTTGTTCGTCCCGTCACTTGCTATCATAAAAAAGAAGCATCAATATTGTAGAGGGAAATTTGTATTTTCAATTGTTCCGGTTCTGGCTGCCCCATGCATGCACACATGCCTGCTTTCTACATATAAATAGTTCTTAAATAAAATAACACTTGTTAAACAGGAATTTGATACACTAGACGCTTGTGGAGAAATCAAAAAGGATTGTTACAAGAAAAATAATTGCAAAAACGGAAGAACAATGCCTCCAAACTGGCTTAGATCTCTGGATTTTGAAATATATAAGAAATAATAAAATGTTATGAATAATGTTGCGTTCATTAAACTAAAAATTGAAACGCTCTTTGTAAATTGTTGAAAACCCAGAAACAACTCCTGCAAATATACTTTAAATGGTACGTTATTTTTAAATGAATATTGTACTCGCTTAACGGTTGAACGCATCGAATTTAAATTAGATTACTGATATATTTAAAATATACTAAAACACGTACTTACTGTAAAGTAAGTCTAAATATTATTCCGAATTTTAGTTTAATTAAATTTTTTCATACCTCGCAAATTGGCAACCTCGTAATTAAGTGTGAGGTTCTACATTTAGCAATGTCATGCTGAGGACTTGAAAAACATAACTAATGTACAATGAATATATCATACGTATTCTACTATTTTTATTAGGTATTTTATGTTAGGACATTTCAGAGTCATGCGCGATAGTGCGTAGTTGTATTTTCGCGTTCAGGTTCAGTAACACACATATTAAATTTTAACTTATTGCTAGTTATTACTTAAGGTAGGTTATTACTTGGTGTACACTCCGCATATAAGCTTGGTGCAACAAGCGAACAGCTAGTCTTTAACCTTTTTGTCCACATCACTCTATTATTTTTTCTATCCGCTTTTTAAGTATTGTGTTCCTTATGTTTTGTGGAGAAATAAATACCTTTTGTAACAAACCTACTTTATGTATTAGACGGCCTTAAGCCAGATTGTTCACTTTTAGTTCGCTAAGAATCCGCTAGATGGCATTAACCCATTTGGCGTTATTTCTGAATCGCAGTCTTAAGATTTTCCCTCGAATTACTCGAGTTAACTTGACTGCTAACTCGACTTGGTGTTCGACAGAGCAACCGCGAGTCGCGAGTAGAACTCAAACCGAGACGCTTCACCGAGTTGTTCACGATCGGCCGCCGACCGCGACTCGAGCGTGCTCTGAAGATCACCGACGCATTGTATGAATGAAGTATTCGGCTCGGCGGCGCGGCGGGCGGGGCGAATCAACCGAGTTAGCTCATGAAAAAGAGAGTTCATGAAAAAGTAACTCGAGTTCACTCGTTATAGGAGTAACTCGAGTTACATAACTCGACTCGCCCATCGCTAGTCCCTTCTTGGGAACGACTATCCGGACCTTCCGCGTATAGGGTGAAATTGTATTGGCGACGTACAAGGTGAAAAATAAATCTTCTAAAACTACAACTTGGAGTTTTCAATTGGCTATATTGGTAACCTCATCCCACGGTAAAGAGAAGCACCTTCCTTTACAAAGTAATTATATTTTATTTTTATATCATCACATATATGATTTGCTGACGTAATAAAAGAGCATTCCAGAATCCAAATTTAAGTGATCAGAGTTTTTGCGTCAACACTAAACTCGAAAACTTCATATTACTTATTTCTAAAGCAGGCTTTTGTCTTTAAAGCTCAATTTACATTGCCGAGAAATGAGTATTTTTTACAAAGCGTCTTTTCTTACAATTTTTACGGTAATGTGTAACGTGCAAACTAGATACGAATCCAGCCGGATATAAGGAATTTTTCTAAGTTTTCGATCTTGTGCACAACAAGAACGAGCTAGTGTAGTAATTTCACAAAAAACAATTGAATATCGTGGTAGTAAAACTCTTGTCAACTGCTGGTAGATGTAAAGGTACCTGGCTGAGTGAAGAATTCCATTTCATACAGATGGCGCTTCAGCAAAAAAGTCATGTCATAGATTCAGGCGTTACTTTGCGGAAGTCCATGTTAATAAAAATGGAAGTAAATTAATTTGCTACTCCGCGAACCCAGCCGGATAGAAGGATTTTTTCTTAATGTTCGATCTTTGTATTTTTTTTTTTACAATAATAATAAAAATTTATGTCATCAAATGTTTACAATACCACTTATGAAATAGTTTAAGAAAATATAACAGTTTAACAGTTGAATTTGTACAGGTTTTTGAATAATATAAATCATTCATACACTCTTGGCGGTATATTGACAAAAATGTTCTTTACCATCCGTGCTAGTCGAGACTGTGTTACGGCAAGGTAAGATTCTGATTCAGACAAATATATTTTTTACGAATTAGGCGTTATAGACTATTTTTGAATAACAAAACAAAAGAAAAGTGAACAAAAGATGCTAACGATTACCGAGTTTAGCGTACAACATAGTACATGCAAAGAAATCACAAGCGCTGTTTAATGTTTTTAACCGACTTCAAATAATGGAGGAGGTTCTCAATTCGACTGTATGTTTTTTTTGTATGTATGTTACGCGATAACTCCGGTATTTGTGAATCGATTTTCATGATTCTCTTTTTGTTAGAAAGAGGTACCTCCATAGTGGTTCCATTTCATTTTGAATAAAATCATCCACCTCTAAGGATGGCTGATCACGTATGAACATTCATTTTTATACATAGCGCCTAAATTTTACTTAAGGAGCAATTATTTTAATTGTTGGTTTTGCTATTCTCCAATTCAAGGCGTTTTTCTCTCAATATACTTTGAGTAGTGAGATCGCCTGTGTCAAATCCTGTACAGTGGCGAACCAGGGGATATTTCAATAAAACTTGGCAAATAGATGTAATTCCACGTACTTTTGAGGTTTTTTTTACTACTCTGTACGGAGATTATAGGAGTATATAAATCATAATAATTGATGAAATGTTGATTTCGGCAAACACAAAACAGGTAAGAAAAAAATCAAATAAAAATAAAATTATTATATACTAGTATAGAAAGGTATTAAGTAAATAAAACAATTTTCTTTTAACTGGTAGTAAATAAATTTTCTTAATATCTAGGTACTATTAATCTCCAGATGCAATAGAAATAAATAGTTAAATATAATGTAATAAAATAAAACGAAAATAAAAAAAAAACAGAAATACAGAGCATGATGATAAATTTCAATTTACCAAAATTATATGTTAATATATATTTATTAATACGTATTATAATACAATATGTATATACTTCGGACAAAGGAAAAAGTTACTAACTAAATAAACTAAATTAATAATAATAACTAATAACAAAAATAACAATATCGCAATTTTAAGATAATTATAAAATAGTAAATAATATTATACATATGTACACTGTTATATGTATGTCTTAGTGCACTACTACTATATGTATATTATATGAAATCATAAGTTCATTAATAATTATAACAAGCTAGTGGAGTAATTTCACAAAAAAATGAGTGAATATCATGGTTGTGAAACATGGTGACATTCAATACTTCATTAGATACGAATCGATAGCAACAAGAATTCCCAAAACTGTACTAGAAACCACCGGACGACGCGTGACCTTCTTTGACTCGTATGCAGTTTGTACGTTACTTAACTTTCGTAAAATTCGTTATGCCATGTGCTACTTCATTACAAAAATTTGTTTCCAAATCGCAATGTTAATTGAAGCTTACCTTCGCCAATTTCTAGTCCGAGATTTCTGAGAAATCGATAACACATTTTAAAGCTAACAAAGGCATTCTTGACGACATACTGCTGAGGAATTTCTCGTGGAATGCCTTGTGAATATACTTCTTATATAAATGTTAGGTATAACGTTAAAATGCATGACGTGAAAATTTTCTGTAGTGCCTCGCGTTACTAAAGCTACACAATCTTTCGGTGATCAGCGATGATGAAAGAACCTTTTGAATTTTAACGAAGCTAAAAAGTATTAAAAAAAATAAAGGGTTTAATATTATAGTAGTAGATCAGGCAGAAATGAGACACATGGTAGATACAACAGTTTAGATATAAATTACAGATATGAAGAATATTAGAAGCCTGGTAGACGCTATAGAGGAAACGAAAACAGAAAAACTTAAATAAAGATATATTCAAAAGATTTATGAAAATAAAATATAGGATTGTTATCTGCACTATTGCAGAGTTGGATGGCTGATGGATGGAAAAATGGCCAGCTAGTAGCGGAAAACAAAATTATATTGATTACATAGTATTGAAACTTCATAATACGCTATTAAATATTTTAATTCAATTAAAAGGATAGTTATGAATTCACCATCTAGTGTTTTGAAAAATTTTTTCAACAAATCTAATTAATTTCGTTCAAGCAAAATACATAGAAAGACGAAGTAAAAAATTGTCGACAAAGTATTTTGGAACTAATCAACGACTCGGTAGCATGGCACCCACGGTAAAAATCTTAGGCTTACTTCTCATTGTAAGTAAAAATAATATTTTTTTCTGAAACCTAAATCTCAAATTTATTATACCTACACCTTTACACCTAACTATACCTTTACAAAATATATATATATTCGGGATGTATGTATTTTGTATTTTTTGCGAAAGTGTTTTCTTTCATTTCAAATTATAGCTTTACTGCGATTGTCCACCCGCATACAGTAGTTTCTTCCGCTGCAGCATGCGCGGATCCGTGACCGACCTAATACCGGTTCTTATGGATGGCCAAAAAAGGTCCGCTGATGAAGGAAGCAAATTCTCCAGAGGAGGATCTGTCCGGCAGTAGTTTAATCTTTGTACTAATTATATGGTTTGACACATAGGTTCCCAAATTTTCTCTAGTAATATCCAGCAGGTATATGCCTTCTTGCAATGCAATAATGTCTAACGAATAGTTTTTACGCAGGCATATGACATGTTTCAACCGGCATTGGGTCAGAATATTGAATTATGGCCTGACGCAAGCGTTTATGAAAAGAAGCCAGCACTTAGAAGTGGAGGACCGCTTCCAGCCAACCAAGAACCGAACAAACAGGTCCTTTCATTTAAATTTCTTTTTTCTGTCAATATCCTGATGTGTCTTCGAATTTGTTGGTTCATTAGGAGACCTTCTTGACAGTCGAGAGCTTGGGTTTAGTATCTAACTGTTACTCTGTCGTCATCGTGGCTATTTTTTTCAGTGGTCGTTAGTCAGAACCCAAGACCGTTTTGATGACTTCTTTGATGAAATCAACCCACTTAAGACGTTTTTCATCGAAGACAGTAATCACAATTACCGTGCATGCCGATTTTAGTGGATTTGCGTGTATCGCGCCAGAAATACAACACTAAGCTACCACAGCAATCACTGCTATTTGTCTTTTATGTGAACTCTGGGAAAATTACAGGGTATCGGCGTGCCTCAGAGAGATGTAAATGGTGTTCTATCAAAACTTTACAAGATGGGTCTCCAAGGCAAACCAATCGTCCTTGTTTTAGACAATCAAAATCAACCGAATCCCAATTCTGGTAGCGTCGAAAATACCCCTAATCAATATATACCCTTGGTAAGTCAATGACCCAAACAAAAATCAATAAGTGGTTTAAGAACTAACATGAAGTCTTCAAATTCTAAGTTACACTAGTTTTAATTTGTGCTTATTTATTTGAATAAATCATTGTAAACTCCAATCTTTTCAGAAACATCACTCGAATAACGCTGGTCAAAGGTTCTGGAACAAACAGAGAAGTGAGTCTGGCAGTACCAAGAAGAAATTGAAAGTTAGCAACGGCAATCAAAAGAAACATGTAAAGTTTCGTGACTCAACTTTCTATAGACAAAACAACGCGTTGGACACAAATGACAGACAAAACCGAAACGACAGACTCGATGAAAATCGAAATGATGAAAATAATAGGGATGAAAGATTAAATAGAAACGACAGATTAGACGGATATGACTTCAATGACAGAAACAACCGAAATGGCAGGATTGAAAGAAATGACAGACGTGAGGAGAATAGGCTTGATGCATATGACAGGAATGAAAGACTAAATAGATACAATCGACTGGAACGAACCTCTTACGATAGAATTAACCGATATGATTTAAATGACAGATTTAAGCGAAATGACAGAATTGAGAGGAGTGAAAGACGTGATGATGATCGACTAGAAGCAAGTGAGAGAAACGAAGAATTAAATAGAAACTATAGGCTTTCTCGAAATAACCGCTATGATACAAATGACAGAATTAACCGATATGATTCAATTGACAGAACTAATCGACGTGAAAGACTGGAGAAAAATGATAGATTTGAAAGAAGTGACAGATTCGATAGACGTGAAGATGATTGGCGTGACGACAATGACAGAAATGAAAGATTAAATAATAACAACGAACGGAACAATCGGTATGAGTCATATGACAGGATTGACCTAAATGATAGAGATAATCAAAATGAGAGATATGACAGAATTGGGAGAAGTGACAGATTTGAGAGAAATAACAGACTTGAAAGGAGAGACAGAGATTTAAAAAATGACAGGCTTATAAGAAGGGATAGACTTGAGAGAAGTGACAGACTTGAGAGAAGTGACAGACGAGAAGATGATCGGATTGATGCAAACGAAAGAAATGAAAGATTAAACAGAAACAGTAGGCTAGCCCGCTTTGATAGATTTGCAAGGAATAGAAGAGAAAGAAGGAATGACAGAAATTTAAGGAATAGACGTGACAGAAGACAACGTGTGAAAACAAGTGACAGACGAGTAAGATTTGAAAGAGATGAGCTTGACAGACGCGACAGAGACTTAGCAGTAAGAAGTGAAAATCGTGACCGATACAATGATAGGGTAGACAGAAATGAAAATAGTGACAGACATAGTGAAAATCGTAATAGAAATAACAATAGGTTGGAACCTGATGATAGACGAGACAGGAATAATGATAGATCAGAAAGGAATGATAGACGTGAGAGATATAATGATAGGTTTGATAGAAATGACAGACGCGATAAATACGAAAGTCTTGATAGAAATGAGCGATATGATGACTATTTCAGACTAGGTAAATACTACAGAGAAAATAAAAATGATAGAGAGCAAGTATTAGAAACCTATAACCAAAATGTCAATTTGTTACAAAGCCGAGATGATTCCTCACAATATGAAACACAAACTAAAAGAGAAGAGGTAAGAAAACCTAGACATAGATTCAGAAGTCGTTATGGTTCCAAATATGGAAACGATAAGGGTCAAGAATTAGACAGGGGAAACGAATGGGAATCGTCGAATAGGAATCGCGAGAATAGAGAAAGGGAAGAAGGATACGGGAATGCAATGTATGACGATTACGACTATAATAGTGAAGGTAAATATAAAATCCGCTCATCTCTCGCCAAATACCAGCTTCGTAACTCACACATACCAGAATGCCATGCGCTGATCAATTGTAGGGATCAATGTGATAAAAATAAAAAAGGAAAAGATAAAGAAAAGTGTTCCAACAACTGCGAAATGGTGTACCTCTGTAAAGATGACAAAAAAGACGATTGCGATTCTGATGATGATTGCAAATTAAGTGACGAATGTGGTGGTGATTCTGATGAATGTGGCGACGATAATCCTAGCACACGAGGCGTAACAATTGAATATACGCCATCTGATTGTACACGATGCAAGAAATAGAAAGATTTAATAAATTTTATTTCAATGAAACTTTTGGTTTTATTTCATCGTAACCACTGAACACGACAGCATCATTCTTTTTTTGTACTATTTTGACACTATATTTTTATGCTATTTGTCCACCAGTAGTAAAATATAACCCATTGAATCTCTATATCACGCCCAACCGACTGAATCTGAGAACTCTAGGTTATATCTTGTAGAGCTTATCAAGACGCAATATAAACTAGATGCTATTGGTATCACCAAATATGAGGCGCGTAGCATCGATGATCAATGTGCATTAGAAATTTTAGATCGTACTGCTCGCCGACTTCCATCCGGGCGCTTTGTAGTTCGCTTGTGCTGGAAGTCGGATACGATAGCAGCACCTTTAGGTTCTAGGTTCAGTTCAGAGTTTAGAAAAAAAAATTATGCGAGAGCCAGACTATGCTAAGCGGTACCGTGAAAATATCCACGATACCTTGGATAAAGGATACGCGGAAGAGTGCACAGGACAAAAACCTGCTGGTACTTTTTTGGTATTTACAGAGTTTCTTTAAATTTCTTACTGTTAACAGAACCTGACCTTTTGCAGAATCAACTTGGAATTTTGATGCTATTTAGAGAAGGAAGGATCGCCCTAAATGTTTCCACAAATAAAAAATTTACACGGAGATGGACGCCCAACGCTGCCTGTGGCGTGATGACCCTTTACGGGTCTAACTACCGTATGAGCTCCATGATTTTTGGCGCTAGTTCAAGTCTGGCAACGGCAATCTATATCACCAACTTAAACGCATCAGAGTTCCGAGAAGAGTCCGTGCGAATCATCATTAGCGATACTTACATGGACGATTTTATCAGCGGTGTTGATAGTATTAAGGACGCAGCTCGCCTGAATGAGGAGGTAGTTACTATTCACAAACGCGGCGGCTTTGAAATGCGTGGCTGGATAACCAACGAGCCAGAAGCCGTAGCAACGTTGCCAGATGAATTGTTTTCCAATATCGTGAATAGTGAGGTGCGTGATATATGGTTATGCAATGACTCGGTGTCTCGCACTCTAGGTCTTATTTGGCAGCCCTCTTGTGTTGAAGTGAAGTTTAACTCTGGTCTATCTAATGAGTCATTTCCTCCTCGAATAAAACGTCAAGTTCATCAAGTTTTACCGAAGAGGAACGCCCAGTCAAATATTCTCCGATAATGAAACCGCCTTCGTTGATGCGAATCGGCAGTTACGCGTGCTTTACAACGAAGCGGTTCCAATTATAAGATAGAATGGAGCTTTATCCCTCCCATCGATGCCGTTCATGGGTAGGGCGTGGGTGCGCTTGGTGAAAAGCGTAAAGATGGCTCTCAAGCTTACGCTCCGAGAACGAGTCCCAATGGATGAGGTCTTACTTGGTACTAGGTGTAACGGGCTGGTGTCCCCGCAACTCGACGTCAAGGCGCCTATTTTGCGTGTGGTCGGTACAGGGTCCTACTCGTGCCACCCAAGCTCCTCCAGGAATCTCAGCTGCCTCCTCGGTTTACTTAAGACTTCGGGGAGTACCTTAGCACTCCAAGGTGCTTCGCCCTGTAGTTTCGAGATAGACTGGCATTGAGCGTTGGGAGTGCTTCCCTCCCCTGTGTAGATACCGTAAGGGTGGTCCATGTATTATTATGTGAAGATTTTGTACCTTTGTGTATATAGTTGTTCTGGACCATTGGTAGGGGACGGACACTATGGGTTCTGGTCCTACAGCGTCCGTCTCCGACCCTTTTCTGGCTAGTTCATCTGCTGCGTCATTGCCACGTGAGCCGCTGTGTCCTTTAATCCACTGTAGAGTTACATGGTTTTGTATACATACCTCCATGAGTGCTTGATGGCATTCATAAATGAGTCCTGAGTTTATGTCATAGCAGTTCAGCGCTTGAATTACTGACATACTGTCGGAGAGTATTCGAATGGAGTGATTTACTCTTCTCGCTATGATTGCTTCTGCCGCCAACTTGATGCCCATTCATTCAGCCTGGAATACTATGTTGTGGTCACCAAGCGGTGTTGATATCCTGATATTGAGTTTTTAGGGGAGCTGAGCAGGTAAGCAGGAAAAGTCCGAGTTGGTTGATTTGATGACTGCATATATTTCATGTTTATTACCCTACAGAAGTACCTTATATCTAATCGCATATAGTACATACTCTGACTAGTCAACGACATGCATCGACAGTGGTGCCGTGGCGGCGCGGTGGCGCTGCTGAGTAACGCTTGTATACAAAAATATGCGGACACGTCGCGTTCCTATTCAGTGCGGTCAGAGCGCTGCGATGGCATGTCGTATGCGCAGCTACAAGTTCTTCTAAGAATATCCCAGTACCTGTTCCTGAATTTGTTTTAGATCCAGCAGTGAAGACCTCTCTGGGGTTCAGTCCTTCGTTGGGATCTTCAAACAATTATATCTTGTATTTTTTATCAAAGATGTATTATTTTGAGATCATATCCACAGCCGCCTCCAGTAGCGGTTCCTCATTGACTGTCTTATAAAGGATTTCTGTATGTGGGTCATGTCCTTCCAAAGGCCGGCTCTGTTTAGACGCACTGCTGTTGACGCCGCCTGTCTCATGAACAGTGGGAGGGGTCGCAGGTCCAGCATCGCCTCGAGGTCCGCAGTTGGAGTTGACCTCATGCAGCCGGTCGTCGCCATGCAAGCGAGTCTTTGGAATTTGTTCAGCTTGTCGGTTGCGGTCGTCAGTTTGGTACGTGGCCACCATACTATCGCGCCGTAACTGATCATGGATCTTATCACCGCTGTGTAGAGCCATAGTGTTATTTTAGGTGTAAGGCCCCATTGTTTATCTACCATTCTATGGCACTGCCAAAAGGTGATAGTAGCTTTTTAATTTTGTTGTCCAGGTGCTTTTTCCAGTTCAACTTGTTGTCCAGTATTACTCCCAAGTACTTGACTTTGGTTGATATCTGTAGTTCTGTACTGAAGAGTTTGGGTAGCAGGTAGTTACCCAGTAGTCTTTTGTTTGTAAACATTACTAGTTCCGTCTTTGTTGGGTTTACCAAGAGTTCGTTTGCTCTGCACCATCTTTCCACAATCCGGAGTGCAGCTTGTGTAATGTCGCAAAGTGTATTGGCATAATTTCCTGTTACCAGTATAGCTATGTCATCAGCATACGTTACTGTATATAAATGTTCTTTGTTTAGTTTAATGATGAGGTAATTTACGACCATGTTCCACAGCAGAGGCGACAGTACACCCCTTCGCTATTATGGCCCATGAGATCCCATTTGCTGTTGTTTTTATTGTTCTTTGTTTTAGCATGTTGCTAATCCAGCTGATTAGCACTTCATCCACTTCGTGTCTTCTCAGTGCTGATTGTATGCTGGAGAAATTGGTTTTATCGAAGGCTCCTTCAATATCTATAAAGGTGCCTAGGCAGATTGCTTTGTCTTTGAGGGCCACTTCTATCTTGCCCACAACGGCATGTAGGGCCGATTCAGTGCAGGACAGATTCAGATTTGCCTTGGCTGTATGTATGTTGGTTTCCGTGTAGTGATATTTTCATACGCACTCCATCCCTCAGTTCTCTGTCACATAACCTTTCTAATTTCTTCAAGAAGAACGATGTGAGGCTGATTGGTCTGAAGGACTTCGTGTCAGTTTTTACCTGGTTTCGGTATAAATATGACTTTTACCTCTCGCCAGCTGTGTGGCATATAGTTGAATGCTAGACAGGCCCGAAAGATGTTGACCAGGTGCTGGACCAGTGTGTCCCCGCCCCATTGTAGGAGTGCGGGGAGTACTCCATCTTGGCCCGGAGCTTTGTACGGTTCAAAGGTGTTTACTTGCCCATTTTGTCTTTTCGTATGTTACTACTTATTCAGCGTATCGCCAGTTATGGATCGATGTGCTGTAGTTCATTTCTTCGCACCTGTCATCTTGGACAAACCTACAAAATGGGAAATTTGCTTCCAGTAGGGTTCTCTCCGTTTCCGCAGGGGAAGTTGTGTAAGTGTTTTCTATTTTGCGTATTGAACCTAGCTCAGTTGATTTTGAGTTGCCTAGGATTTTCCTTATTCTGTTCGCTTGTGCGCAAGACGTGATGTTCCCGCAGTAGCCTCGCCATGATGCGGTGCTCTTTGGATTTGGCCGTCTTGTAGTTCTCCCAGTGCTCATCCGCGCTCATGTGTTCATTGCTCAATTGAAGCGTCTCCTTACCCTTCTTCGTAGCCTTCGTAGCCTAAGAGTAGTGTTGTCTCTTCGTAGTGTTGGCCTTGCCGCGGAGCTGAGTCACTAGTGGGCATGCTGAGTTATAGCTGCTCAATATGTTTGATGTTAGTTCTTTAACCTTTCGAACACCACTTCAGGCAGGCCTGTGGCCGCGTCAGCTAAAAGCTTTACGGCACACACTCTGGAACAGAATTCTGTTAAGTGTAAGTTATTAGAGTAATATGTGCAAGTTCTAGGTTTATCTGAGATTGTAGTTGATAATAGCTTACCTCACAGATGTGAGAGTCCACGGTTCCTGAATTAGCGCCAAGGCTGTGTTGTTAGCCTCCAACCACTTCCGGAGCTGAACCGTTGCGGCCTGGCTGTGGTGGATCAGTAGATAGCAGCTCCTCGTCCACATCCTCGCTCAGTCGGATGTCTCCCATCCCCAACACGCACTCGTCATCACAGCTAGCCGCCACCGGTTTGTCAGCGGCGTCCGCAGAGACGGGGGTCAAGGAGGGTCCATCACCTTCTCCGGGGATAACAGAAGAGGTGGAAGGCTCCAGGGAGACGTCCATCCGTGTTGTTGTTGTGCCCGTCTTCTCAGGTGGCACTTCAGTGTACAGGCTCCTCTTGGATCTGGACCTGAGGTAGACCGTGCCCAACTGGAAGGTTAGACGCCGGCCATGCCCCAGGACAGCAGGGACGAGTTCTTCCTCTCAACCTTTTGCCGTTTGTGGTCGCCTCTAGGAGATATTGTCTCGTCACGGCGGGCACGTTGTTACGGGGGGTCTTCTAAATAAAAGAAGGAATACCCTTGTAAACAAAAT